GGCAAACATTTGTTGCTGTCCAACTGTCATCCAAGAACCCTACCCGGCATGTCGAGAAATGCCGACCTGCCGAGGAAGCACACAGCACACCCTCCACCGGTGGTGCTACCCCATTATACACACACAACACATACACACACAACACACACACAGCAATCCAATCGTAACTCCCGAACAATCTACAATCAACCCACGCGGGCCCCCGCGAGCTCCCCCAACCCTTCCCCCTACCACACGCAACCTCCCCCCTTTACTCCCCATAATACACGGGTATAATGGGAACGGTGTATTTAGCACTCCGCGTCCCCCTACCCTGCACCGTCCCCGTCAGAGCCAACCAGTCCTCAACCTTGCGAGGCCCGACTTCTCAGACTTAGACTCAGACTCAGCGGATCCTCGGTCAGGTATTTTCAGGATATGGCTCATCATCCATTCGCATCACTCCTCCTTTCCTCTCCTCCTAATGAAAACCTGAAAAGAAAGAGAACCTCTTCCCCCCCTCTTCCCCCCCCCCGCAGCTGTATACCGCAGTGCCGCCGCATCATCCCTTCCGCGCACCCGCCCGCACCTTTGCGGCAACCGAGCCGTGTGCAACATTTCACATACAACAGACAGGAACGACGACAAAACTTATTCGTAACACGGGCAGAAGTTGGGCGTACATAAATACAGTCCCTGGCGTCGGATCGTGTAAGGGGCCATGCAGGGCCCCTGGTGGCCGGCATCCCATCCCCAGGGTCCTTGTTTTCTGCAAAGAGACTCCATTTACAGGACGCTATGCAGCCCCCATCGGGGCGATAATCAACACTGTAGGAAAAGGGGAAGGGGAAGGACGCACGCCGACGAAGAACAAACGACCCACAAAGACACAGCCGCGAAAAAACGTCCGTCCATTGCCGCTAGCGCGGCTCCTAGCGCGACGATAATCTCCCCAAAGTACAAAAACACAGACAGAGACGCATCCGCCGTGGCCAAGCAGAAAAGCCACCCGTCGGCTTCAGAACCAAGGCTGCTTGTCCGCCGTAAAAACTGCAAGGAAAACCGATACGTTTTAACCGGGCCAAGGTAATCCGTACGTACACACACACGTGTGTCCCGTCGCCGTCGCGCCACGCGACCCACGTCACACCATGCCACGTCACGTCGTGTCCGCGTCAACCGTCAACCGCCACACGACACACCACATTGTCGTCGTCGTCGTCGTCCCCCATCCTCCCTTCCGGCGCCGCCCAAGGTCGCCTTCCTTGTATCGCTGTTCAAGATGACCCAGCATCCCACCAATGCAACTCAGTCAACTAGCTCTCCAACACAACGCCGTCCCCTCTCAGCCGGGTTGAACCACCGACAAGCACAGTAGATAACCTCCGTTAGTGCGCAGTCGCCAACACCTATGTCGCCAAATATTCGCATCATGTAGCAGCATCATTCCGGAGTCCCTCTCTGTTCGCTCTCCGTACCTCAACAGAGGAACAGAGGCGGCGTAAGAGGTGGTGTAAGAGGCAGACCCGTACCCAGCCCCTTTGCCCCCTGCCCCCCCCCTCCCCGCATCACGTCAGAAGGGACCGTAACGAGTACCCGCGTGCACCCAAGGGAAGGGGGGAGAGACGAACCACGAATGAGTGAAGCTGCTGCCAAGGAAAGAGTGTACAAGAAGCAGGACTGACCCAAAGGGGGGGGGCACGCACGGAGAGCAGGGACCGCGCAGCACACAGACAGGAAAATCCACCCGAGTGGGAGGGGAGAGGGCGGGAGGGAGGCAGGGGCAGGGCAACGACATCACCCGACAGCCACCCTACAGCCAGAATTCCACTGCACCCCATCCACAAATTCCATTTACGTCTCCCTCAACAGCCCGTCGTGTGAAATACCGCTCTCCTGTTCCCAATTCCCAATTCGCATTCATTCAGAAAACGGAATCCCCAAGACAACCGAAACAGCTCTTGTGGTGATGACATTCCCGTGCTGGCGAACCTCTGACGTGCAAAACCCTACTTTTCCACCTCCTCCTCCACTTCCTCCTCCTCCTCCTCCTCCTGCACCTCCTCCTCCTGCACCTCCTTCATTCTCTCCTCCGAACCACAGACCAGAGAGCAGCACAGCAGCATTACGGTCAAACCAAATCAGCGGCGCAAACGCGGGTCGCCGGACTGCGGGGGTCCCTGCGGCGCGGCGGCAGCAGCTGCAGGTGCAACACCCGAGTACTGCGGCAACGTTGCCGCTGGCCCCGTCGCTGCCGCCTGTGCGTACTGGTAACCGTACGCATACTGGTGTGGATGTGGTGGGTACGCGTGAACCGCGGCGGCAGTGGGCGCACCAACTGAAGCTGCCTGCTGCGCGTGGTACGCCGCCATTGTCATCGCCGCCGCCGCCGCTGCGGATGGCGCTGCTGCTCCCCCAACGGTCTGCTGCGGCTGCTGCTGCGGTTGCTGTTGCTGCTGTTGCTGCTGCGGCTGCTGCTGCGGTTGCTGTTGCTGCTGTTGCTGCTGCGGCTGCTGTTGGTGCTGCGGCTGCTGTTGCAGCTGCGGCTGCTGTTGCTGCTGCGGCTGCTGTTGCTGCTGCGGCTGCTGCAGCTGCTGTTGCGGCATGTAGCCTGTGAAACCCCAACCTCCATACGCAACCGGAGCCCATCCACCAATGCTGGAGGTGGTTCCGCCCGCTCCCGCTCCCGCTCCCGCCGCCAACGATGACGTCACCCTCCCCAGCGCCCCCGCAGCCGCAGCCGCGGCCGCCGCCGTCGCATCCGCCACCGGGTCGACACTCCCCACTGCTGCCGCCTGCCCCACACCTCCCGCTGCAATACCTGATATAACAGCTGCAGCTGGTGCTGCTACTTGTCCTCCTCCTCCTCCTCCTCCTCCATCTGCAGCTGCAAGGGCTCGTGCTCCAGCACCAGCAGCGCCACCGCCGGCAGCCGCGGTACTGGCTGCCGGCGGTGGCGCTGGCGCTGCTCTTGCGGCACCGACACCTCCACCTTGATCAGCGGCTTGACCATTCCGCCCCAAGGCCTCCAGCACCCCTCCGAGCTGGCCGCCATCTGCGCCCCTCTGCTGCATCAGCAGCGCTAGGAGATCCCTGCTAGTGAGCTTGGCGGGGTCCACGTTTGGCGGCAGAGTGATGGTGCCCAGAGTCAGCAACGGCTGGGCGCCCGGGGTATTGCCGCTGGTGGCGGCGGCGCTGGAAGCACCGCCTCCGGCGCCGGCAAGCGTCGACGCCACCGCGATAGCACCACCCGTTGCGGCTGGCTGATGCTGAGCATGCTGCGCCTGTTGTTGCTGTTGCTGCTGGGGTTGCTGACCCAGTGGCGCAGGCCAGCCTTGTGCGGACGGTTGCTGTTGTTGTTGTTGCGATATCGCTGCGGTTGTCGCGTGGGCAGCAGCGCCCTGCGCGCCGTGGCTCGACGTGTTCGGCTGCTGCTGTTGCTGCTGCTGCTGCTGCTGCTGACTGAAGTGCTGCTGCAGCGCGGCCAGGGCGCTGGTCAGGATTTCCGGTTGCAAAATGCCGGAAACCTGTTGCTGCTGTTGTGACTGCTGTTGTTGTTGTGGCTGCTGTTGTTGTGGCTGTTGTTGTTGTGGCTGCTGTTGTTGTGGCTGTTGTGGTTGTGGCTGCTGTTGTTGTTGTGGCTGCTGCTGCTGTTGCTGCTGCAATTGGGCCTGCGCCAGTTGCATTGCCGCCGGAGACGTCTGCTGCGATTGCGGCTGCTGAGGGATCTGCAAGTAAGCCAAATGCGGCTGCAGCTGCGGTGGCTGTTGCTGTTGTTGTTGTTGTTGTGGCTGTGGCTGTGGCTGTGGCTGCGGCTGCTGTGACTGCTGCTGGTAATTCAGGTACTGTTCGAGCGACATTACCTGGAACGCTGGCGGATTACTATGCGGCTGCTGTGGCGGCGGCTGCTGTTGCTGCTGGGCTCCATGTGGCCCAATCTGTTGTTGCTGTGGGACTTCTGGCTTGGCCTGTCCTTGAATGAAGGGCCCTGCAAAGGCTGGGGCTGGGGCTGGGCCTTGCTGCTGCTGCGGTGCAGGCTGCTGCTGAGCGTACTGTTGCTGTAGCAGCTGTTGTTGCGGATGTTGCGAACCACGCTGCTCCGGTACCGGGTGCTGGGCCCCGTGCGGTGGCGAACGCAGATGCAGTTCTTGCTGGGCTGGTGGTTGATGAGGAGCTGGCGCACCGTACGGCGGGCTGTGTGCCTGCTGCTGGGTTGGGTTCGGTCGCTGGTGCTCTTGGCCCCCGGACCTATCCGCCAGGCCTGCCTGCACGTAAGGTGGCGAATAAGACGGCTGCGGCTGTTGCTGCTGCTGCTGGGGGCGTGACTGCATTTGTGGCTGCGCCTGTTGCTGCTGTTGCTGCTGCTGCTGCTCCATAGCGCCTGGGTGCGGCGGGCTCAGCTGCGGCTGCCCTGACAGCATCCCTGCCTGCTGCTGCTGTTGCTGCTGCTGCAACTGCGGGGACCAGGCGACCTCCTTGGGTGGAGCAGCGATGCCTGCGTGCCATGGCACGCGAGCCCATGGCGGCTGCTGCTGTTGTGGCTGTTGCTGTTGCTGTCGATCACCCCACGCGGCCCCTGACTGTGCTCCGTCTGGTTGCCCCTGCTGCTGTGGTTGCTGTTGATAAGGATGCAATGGTGGCCCTTGCAAACCCGGTCTGTGGGGACCTGCTGCCTCTGCTTCCACTCGCCCGGCTGCGCCAGGACCGCCCTCAAGCTGTCGTTCCCACGGCGGTCGGCGTCCGGCGTCACTGTCGGGTCCCGGCGCCGCGGTCTGCCGCGGCTGCTGGCCCGTCGTACCGCTGGGCACTCCCGGCGGCGGGATCCCGTACGACTGCTGGTGGGGATGACCAGACTGTCCAAACGGCGCCGGGTCGGGAGCTCCGTACTGTGCACCGCCGCCGTACTGCGGGTTTGGAGGTTGTGCCTGTGCCCCATTGTACGGCGGATGTTGTGAAGCATGAGGCTGCGTTGCGCGCCCCGGCTCTGTCATGCCGCCGCCGGGGACCCTCGCCGCCGGATGCTCTGGGCCGAGCGGAGACGCGAGGTGGGTTACGTCGCCCCCTGCCGCAGGAGCGTGGGGGCCCTGCAGGGGAAACGATGTCGCCGGTGTGGCTGCTGGTGGGTCAGGATCCCAGCGTGATCGCTTTAGCCGGCGTTCCTCCTGCTGCGCGCTTCCAGCTGGGCCTTCCGGCTGCTGCTGCTGCTGGTAGTGGTGCTGTGATTGCTGCTGCTGCTGGTGGTACTGGTGTTGCTGGTCGGGGGGAAGCAGCTGCGGGTGCGAGTAGCCTGGCCCTGGGTACCCCGGATAGGCGTGCGCGTGGTGGCTCTGGGCCCCGGGATATTCCTGCCGCTGCAGTTGCAGTGGCTGGTTTTGGTGCTGCTGGTGCCCTTGCTGTAGCGGCTGCTCCGGGGTGTACACGCCATTTGGGTGCAGCTCCGGGTTCCCCTGCCCTCGGCCCTGCTGGTGCTGGTGTTGGGGGTGCTGGAGGACGAACTCAGGGGCATGTGGATGGCCTGGCGGCAGTAGCTCCTGTTCTTGCTGCGGTGGCGGCGGCCCGTCCGGTCGCGTACCCCGGAAGGGCCCATTTCCCTCTGGGGTATTGTCATACGACCCCGCCATGGGTGCGCCGTCATCCCCGGCGCCCGCACGGTCGTTATCCCACCTCGACTTGCGCTTTTGCTGCCGCTGCTGCTGTTGCTGCTGCTGTACATGCTGCTGATGGTACGGCCCTGGCCCAGGTCCAGGTCCCAGCCCTGCTACCTGGTCGTGCTGTTGCTGCTGTAGCAGATGTCCTTCTTGGCGGTAGCCATCTCCCCGTGCGTAGTTCCCGGCGCCTGGCAGTTGCTGCTGTTGCTGCTCATGTGGTTGGAAGGGTGCTGGGTAACCCTGCTGTGAGTAGCCCCGGGGCTCGAGCTGGGGCCCCTGCTGAGGGTGCGGGTGTGGAAGTCCGCTGCCTCCAGAAGGGCCTTGCATGGGGATCTGCACGTACGGTCCCTCAGGCGCGCCAGGATGAGGCCCAGCACCGTACGAGGTCTCCGGCTGACCGGGTGGTCCAGACCCGTACGGCAGCCCTGCATGCCCAGGCGGTACGGCGCCATGACCCACGGGTCCATTGGAGCCGTCGCCCTGGTGTGGGTAGCCAACGCGCTGCGGGCTCATCGGCCGGCCACTGGGCTGTCCGTACAGACCACTCACCGGCTGTCCTTCTGGTCCACCACCACCACCACTCCCACGGCCCGCTGCTGCGCCGCCTGCTCCTACGGGGGCACCAGTGGCCGCTTCGAAAGGCAGCGGGCCGCCTGGACCGTAAGCCCCACCGGGTCTTCCCGGTGTGTGGTCCGGCGGCATGACACGCTGACCTGGCAGCGACGCGCCGGGGAGGACACGTTGATCATGCTGATGGTGCTGTAGCTGGTAGTGGTGAGGATGGGGATGCTGGTTGTTGTGCACGTCGGCTGGCTGGTACGCTGCCGGCTGCTGCTGCTGCATCGGCGGCGCTTGCTGACCGTCAGGAACAGGGTAGCCCTGGTGCTGCGCGTACTGCTGTGCAGCGACCCAAGGGGGAGCCTCATTGGGCCCGCCAGCGGCAGCATGGTCTGGCGGCATGCCTTCTGCTATCCCCTGCCCGCTGGGTGCACCTGACGCCCCTGGACCGTACGGCTGCTGCTGACGCGGCGGCTCTGACATTGGCGGCCAGGTTGCCCTTACATAGGGCGTGTTGGACGGGAGTTCAGTGGGTGGGTGTCCCTCACGGCCACCAGCACCCGGGTCACCGCCGCCTGCGGGCTTAGTGGTGTTGCTATCGTTGCAATCCCGCCATCGGGATCGCCGTGGCTGCTGGTTTCCGGTAGTTGCGGATCCCCCCGCGGCAGAGCTCATCGCTGCCCCTGCTGAGGGGGGACCTGCAGCTGTCGGGGCGCCGTTGGCCGGCAGCAGTGCGGATGGCACGGCGCCATCCGCGCGCTCTACAACACCCTGCGCCGGTTGTGTACCGGGCCAGGCATCCGAAACCCAGCCCGTTCCGGAAGGTGGGTGAAATTGGTGCGGGTTTTGGGGTCCTGGTGGTGCGTCCCCGCTCTCGTGTGCGGTTGGGGGCGGCCCTGAAGGGTGCGGGGTCGTGCCGTCACTGCCACGCCTGGCAGGATCGGGCTGCTGCTGAGGCCGCTGCAGGTGCGCGTCCATTCGCATTGGTGCGTGCTGCGGGGGCCGCTGGGGCTGGGGCTGCTGCGGGAGCGGGTGGTACGGTGGAGGCTGCCATGCGGCGTCTGCTTGATGGTGGGGGTGCTGGTACGCATCAGGGCGCCCTGTGCAATAGAAGCCGCAATGCGCAGTGTAGAGGGGGGGGAATGGTTCGGATCGCCAAAGTTTACTAGGTCGATTGCTGACGAAGGATGCCTTAGTTAAGCTTTGGCATTCAAATCATTGTTATTGCTGCGCGGAGCGCCAGCTATATCTCAGGAGCGGAGTGGGTATAGCGCGTGAGTCGAGCTCTCCAACAAGGGGATGGAAACGCTTGGCAGCCTTCCCCTCGCCATACATGCCAATGTTAGAACAACATTTCAATGCTGGAGGGATATGGTGCTCAAACCTTCCGCATGAACTGTTGAGCTCCTGAAAGGCTAGGAGAAGTTGGCGGCTCTGCCTTCAGGATGCAACACTTCATACAATTTGGCTGTGTTACTTTGGTGATATTTTACGCGCTTCAATCAGGGGGAGCGGAGGGGGTAACCGTTTGCAACGCGCCCGAGAGGCAGACACACAGACTGGACCGGCATTGGAGCTATTGCTGTCGCCTTTTTCCCAGCCACAGGTAAAGGCTACCCCTCATGGGGAGCAAAGGTGCAAGACTGTCGCAAGCAAAGCTGCGCGAGATGAGGAGCATGGTGCTTGCACCGCCACCAGCCTGCAATCGCCCATCGTCACAAAAAGCACTGCTGCCTGTGGCAAATGGCAAACAAGCCGCATGCCCCCAAAGCCATTAAGGCAAACCTGCAGCACATTCAGCTGTGCCAAAATCGTGACGTAAATAACTTATGCCAGCTACCAAAACGTAGGGGTATGGCTGCAAGGAAGGAGGGAGCGCCAATAAAGCCGATCGCCAACAAACCGGCAGCAATGTGAATGCTGGTCTGCCACCCGCAAATGAAGTGTTTCGCATGGTTTCTCAGGCCCCAAAGGAACCTCTTTCCCAACCGTATATTTCCTTTCATGCGTTCTTCAACTTTAAGTGCTGCTCCTGGTCCTCAAACTGCTACAGTTTTAAGTGGAACAGGCAAATGCTTTACGATGCCGGCAAATGTTCCGATAGCGGCGTCGGAACGCATCTCGCGGTCGGCGCAAGGCCAAACTCAGCCATCGCACCTTGGTTCGGGTGAATCTCGCCGTGAGGTCCAAATGCGCCGCCTTCCACTCCACCGCCATACTGCATATGACCTCCCGAATGGTCTGCAGGGTCTCGTGTGTCAGGGCGTGATGCCAAGTGCCTTGGCCCTGGGTAGACGCCTGTTCCTGAAGGGTGGGCATACGCTGCAGCACGTGTCGCATCGGAAGGGCCTTGGGCCCCGTGAGCGAGGCCGTTACGGTCGTAACCCTCGCGCCTGGCGCCACCCTCGGGCTGTGCATGGTGGAAAGGGACTGCTTGTGGCTGGAACTCAGGTCCATGACTGGGATATTGGCCATGGTACTGTTGCTCTAGTGAAGGGCCTACAGGGGGTCGCCAGGATGGCATGGAAGCAGGCTGCAAAGCCGAAGGGGCCCCGCGGTGTTCGGGAGGGCCGCGGGGGGGACCGTCACGTTCCCTGACAGGAAAGGACCGGGAAGGAGGTGGCTCCCTGCGGTAATCAGCACGGGGCCCACCGCTTCGACCATCGCGATAACCGCGTGACGACATGGTCGCTCGCGTAATTTAGCCGGAAGCTGACTTTAAAGTAGAAAGGGCGAAGCTCGCGTTTCGCTCCTGAGATTCCAGTCCACGCGGAGGTAACACCAATATTTAAGCTACAATTGTACAGCAGGTTAAATTGGACGCGGACGGTAGCGTAGACGTCCGGATCAAACGACCAGTCCCGGGGCGGCAACACGTTGACTGAGGAGTCCGATTCCGGTTGACAAGCACAAGTGCAAAGTCCTTGCTAAAAAGCGCTGGTTACGCGTCTCCAGCTGCACCTCAATAGTATGCAGCTCCCAAGCAGACCAGAGCGACCCGCTTCTCTCGTTCAGAAGCTAAACCTCTCTTTTCCAAACAATCCATCACAACGCTGAAACCTTTGTGGCAAGAATTCCGGGGACCGGACTACACCCAGACACGTACTAAGTCTGTACTCTAAGTTCAGCGTAGGTCGGCGACAATGTTCCAAAAATCTTCACGTGATTAGGAAAGGCCATGGAGAACCGCAGCTTGGGCAAAGGGGACTTCTCTTCCAAGCTATGTACGGCACATTTTGCCAATACTTTTGCTGTCGGCGACATGGGATAGTCCTCTTTCCCCAACCTTGGACTCTTCTCACACCACAGGTGTGTAGAACACTATTGTTTTACAAGTCGTTGTGCTAGGACATCCTGTGTACTGTGCGCCGCCACTTCTAGCGCGTGTTGTGAATAGACAGTACCTCTTTCGCTGTGTGTAGGTGTGCAGCGGGAGTCGAGTGGACCGTGAGTCCACGCGTAAAAGAGAGGTCCCAATTTCCACTTGGTGGCTGTCTCTTCGTGCTCAGGCGAACAGCAAGAATGCTTATTCCTAAGAAGAACCGCAGGGAGGTTTACAAGTACCTCTTCAAAGGTTAGTAAACATCGTGCAGCGCAGCGCGTTAGGGGTGTTCGCCACCGTCGGCCGGCTGGTGGCGTCCATTGTAATGCCCTGCTTTATGCAGAGAGCATAGCATGCCGGCAGATCCCTATCAACTTTTGTCCTTCTTTCTGATGATCATGCAGAGGGTGTCCTTCAGGCGGAGAAGGACTTCAACCTCAAGGAGCACCCGGAGATTCCCGGTGTGCCCAACCTGCAGGTCATCAAGCTCATGCAGAGCTTCAAGTCCAAGGAGCTGGTGACCGAGCGCTTCTCCTGGAGGCACTACTACTGGTGCGAAGGGCCTGATATGCGCTGGATGCGGTGCTCCTGCTGTCCCCCTTGGGACTCTGCCGCCCTTCGTAGGGCCTTACACAGTCTTAGACAGAACAGATAATTGCTAATGATAGGGGATGGTGACGTTTTCTCCGGGAGATGACACGCGCACATCTGGCCAGCGCAGTGTGTCACGTAAAGCCTGATTCCTGGTATTGTCGGCCTAACATGCTGGTACCCCCCATGACGCTGCTAGGTTCCTGACCAACAAGGGCATTGATTACCTGCGGGAGTACCTGAACCTGCCCAGTGAGATCGTGCCTGCTACCCTCAAGAAGTCGAACCGCCCGCTGGAGCGTGGCCCGCCGATGCGTGGCGACCGTCCCCCGCGCCGCGAGGTAATGCGGTTGACGATCGGGAATTCTGTTCAGTACACTGTGGTCGTAGGTATTAGGGAAAGCATTATTTGAGTCCTGTCGTTTGCATTACCCTGCATGTTCACCCACGTGCACAAATCGGCCAGTAGGGGTTTTACTGCACGTTTGTTAGATCGGCTCTCGCCCCCTTGACGGGAATTTTATGAGAGGCCGGCGACGATGTACCGTCGGTAAGGCTGATGGCTTGTGGATATACAATCAATTCTTGACGAATCGCTGGTTGCCCGCGTTCCATAGGGTGGCTTTGGTGGTCGCGAAGGCTACCGCGGTGCGCCCCGTGAGGGTGGTGGTTTCGGCCGCGGCGCTGACAAGGTGAGACGTGTGCTCTTGATCGTGCACTTGATTGTTTGACTGTGCGTCAATCTTTTGGCGCTGTTGCTGAAGTCCATTGCAATGTATTGTGAATTTCGTATTGGTTGGTCTCCATTACCCCCTTGCATTTTTGGATATGCAGGCCGGCGCTCCGGGCTCTTACCAGCCGCAGTTCGGCGGCGGCTTTGGCCGTGGTGGTCCGCAGTAAAGTGCCTCTCGTGGTGCTTCGTAGGTTGCCCTCCGCGTTGTAATTAACGTCACACCTGGCCTCCCTTCTCCAATAAGTTCGCATGAGGTTTCTACGCATTTTCCTAACGCCACTTTTTCTGCGTCCTCACGAAAACTGCTGCTGTGCGCGCAATGTGTCAGCGTCGCGTCAACACCAGCATATGACTGTTTCAGTGCGCGGCGGAAGCATGGAGTTTAGGCCTTGTTCGGAAGTAGCACGCTGTTTGACGCCTTACTGAAAGTGGCTTACGTTGGAGCACAATCATGACCCAAGGATAAATATCACTGCATTCTGTCTGCTACCCACCAACCTATATCTGCCAACATGTCACCGGGTTAGTGGAACCAATTCCTGTAGTGTGCCGGTCATTGCCGGTATACCGTGGTGTGGGTGGACAGCAGCGACGTTCTAGACACCCACGGGAAAGGGTTTTGGAAAGCTGGCTGCACATACTATAAAACGTTGCGGGTGACGCAGCTTCTTCGGTGACACCACTACTACACGAGATATTCCGAGGACAGACCAAACCATAAGCTAACCGAAAGTACCATACATCCATAAACTACTGTCAAATCTAAACCTAAAGCTCTCCCTAATGCCGAACGATCCCTGGTACACATCAAGTTGGCCATCCTTAGAGTAACATCCCAGAAACACATTCGTGTCGCACTTCTTTTGTTGACGATGCCAAACCCTTCTCATCCGTTCCGTTGCACAAATAACGTTCATAAGCTACATCGGCGGTTCACGCCTCCGGAAAGGGCCGACAGGCCATTCTGTAATAAGCTACCTTTTGACCTATCGCCGCGGGCACTCCCATGACCGACCAACGGAAACGCTATCCTTAAGTACCCACGTGCAATCCGAAATGGTCGCCATGATTGAATGGACACTGAGATTGAGGTCGCAAAGCATATTGGTCTATAGCGTAAGCAGCAACCGACGCATTTAGAACGCAGCAGCACAACACCCCATACCATAGGCTGATACGGCAATTGCACTGCTGTACACACGTTATGCTGTCCGATCCGCCCCCGCCATCGCCACAGCCGCCTTTGTCCTTCCTCCCCGGTTAATAGTCCCGCGCCGCCGCGCCAGCCGGGGCATCCGCACGCGTTTGGGCCACGTGGTGAGGTTGCCGAACGGCGGATGGACAGGCCCCGGGATACCTGTGATGTTGTCGTACGGCACCTCGCCGCAACCATAACCGAATGGGCAAACATAGTCAACCTCGGATGGCTCCACGATCGGACGCAGCAGCCGAAGGTTAAGCTGTCGTACGTGCTCCGAAATCACCTCCATTACCTATACGTGGCGAACATTGCACATTCGGGGCATTGGGTTTGGGGAGGTACGGCACGGAACGGGGGTATCTGAGGGGGAGGATTAACTCCTGGATGCATGGATGCGCAGGAGGGCACAAAAACGTCCTCAAGGTACGAGATTGCGGGTGTAGGGGGATGTGTGTGCGTGGAAAGGAGAATTCCGAAATGGTAAACCCCGGCCGACACGGGCCGTGGAAAAGAGGAATCAATCCCCCGGGGAATGGGGGCCGAAGAGCAGGCCGCGTTTCATCCCGTGCTAACCCCAACCCCAACCCCAATCTACCTGCGTTGCTCTGGGTATCCTAAATAGGCCCCTTCTAAGGACTTACGTTGCTTCCGAACCAGTAGAAGGAGTCCGGCTCCCATCTGCAGTGATGACCCCAACGGCGGCCCATGTAGCCGATCGCCAGCTCCCACTGCCGCTCCCAACAGTACCCAAACACACCGCGCCTGTGTGTGCCGCCCTCCGACTCTTGCGGGTCCTTGTTCAAGCCTGGTAACTCCATGTACGACACCTGTACGGAAGCCGTACACGTGCGGGCGAGTGCATGTGCGTATTACGTGTGGTGCACAGGGGGGCCATACGTGTGTGTGTATAGGGATCTGGCTTAGTCTCGGACGGTAACCCGTCACTGCATATTCCCTACCTGCCACCCCGCCAGCCACATCCTCAGGGAGAGGTCATAGTCGCTGTGCACCCCGCACGCGCCGCTCTCGCCCATGTTTTCGTCAATGCCGCCAAGCTCCAAGAATGCAGAGCGGCGCACCGCAATAGGCGCGTAGTCAATGAGCGTCACGAACTGCATACGAAGTGGCGGCGGTGGCGGTGGCGATGGCGATGGCGGCGGCCGCTCGCTGGGGCCGCCGCCGGGGCCCCCCTTTGCGCCCGGGTCCCAGAAATGGACGCCGTACTTGGACGTGTTCGGATGGTAGTCAAACACGAAGCGCTGCGAGCTGTGAGGGGCCCGAGGGTTGTAAAAGGGGGAAGTGAGTGGAGAGTCAAGGAGAACGACTGAGCAGAGTGCGGGGGAAGGGACGAAGGGGAAAGACGAACCACGAACGAGTGAAGCTTATGCCACGGAAAGACGGATGCGCCAGAAGCGAAGAAGGCATAACCAACCAGGGATGAGGGCGCGAGCGGGCGTGTGGGACGGATGCGAGTATGTAATGTGGGTGTGTAATGTCCCTCAGGCCTGAGGTTAACCCCATCCGCTTCGTCACAACAAGGAATATTGCCACGAAATTGCCGTCCTGGTCACTGATTTCCAGCTGTCAAGGAGACTTCCCGCTATTCCAAACCTGGGCGTCGCACATGCGGCCTATACGTACACGCATACAGATACACGCCATATTGAACACACGTGACGATACCTGTACATTATCAGCGCTTCCAGGGTTTACAAATCGTTCTTTACAAGCGGTAGAGCACACGTGCAAACATACATACAAACGTGCATACATACATAAACGCGGCAGGCGGTAGGCGGCTGGCATAGGTTAAGGCCTGATTTCTGCTCCCGAAGTGTCCAGGTTCAAATCCGCCTGCCGACTCTTCGGGTATTTGAGGAGTGTCGAAATGGCAGGTTGCCCCCCATCTTATGGACGGAGTAGGACGTGTAAAATTAACTTGCGAGCTGACCAGGAACTAAGTTGAGGCGCCCTTGATCCGCTAGTTTAGGTTGGATGCTGGTGGTGAGTTGCAGAACCCAACGAATACATTCTGAAGTCGGAAGGGGTGAACGGATTAGTGTGCCCCTCTCGCAAGGGAGAGCAGGAATTTTGAACTGCCTCGGGAAAGGGGGCCGCTGGTGGAGCTATACCACCCTGTGACAACATACATACACGCGTACCCGATGGCGCCCATCCGACGCCAGCGCCTGAAAGCTCGGACCAAGGACGACAGCCAATCGCACACCGTGTCCTCAGGGAAGACGTCGTCATCCTAAGGTGTCGTACAGGCCGTACAGGACACGTCGTACGATTAGGCGGGGGCATGACCACGTGGGAACAGGGTCAGGCAGGTGACACTTGTTTGGTGCTCCGAGGCCCAGAGCTTGGAAATTATTTGGTTCGGCAGTATACTCGGTTGAGTCCCCGTTCCCTCCCTTCCTCCCTCCCTTCCTCCCTCCCTCTTCCCCCGCATCAACACCCGCCTGTAGCATGACAAGGATTTTTCCGCGCGCCAGCCGAGCCAGACGGTTGTACGACCGGATCTCATGTACGTTATTGCTGTACACCGGTATGACGAAGCCCTCGCCCAGCGGCCCCGCCGCAAACTCCGCCACTGCCGCCGCATCCGACCGACTGTCCACATTAATTAACATCTCCATCCGAATTATCCCCCTCCGCCGCTGCTGCTGCTGCCGCTGTTGCTGCCCCCCGGCCCCTCCGTCAACGCCTCTGCTGCCGCCACTGCCGATAACGCCACCACCTGCACTGCTGTTTTCGCCGCCGACTCCGCCGTCTCCATTGCTGGTGTTCACGGGTTCGGACCCTGCCGTTGCGCACCGCCGGAAGGGTTTGACTAGAGCCGGCAGCATCCAGGGCCGCTGGAAGTACTGCACCAACAATGACACGACGGGAAGCCGGCTCTCCAGGAGGGCGTATCTTCTACGCGACCTGACACCCATAGCCTCTGATCTCGTGCTAGTGATCGTGCTTGCGCTAGGCACGGCATCAGGGGAAGGATACAGGCTGTTGTCAAGTCGCGCCAGCAGGCACTGCGGCAGGAGGTGGAGAAGCACCGTCGGAGGTGGCGCTTCGCGGGCAGTGTAGTGGGAGGAGTCGCTTGCGGTAGCGGAGCGGTGAAAATGGCGTGCTGAAGCCGACGCTGAAGTTTTTTCCAGTTGCTGCTGTATGCCCGATAGCAGGGCCATCGCAGCTGCCTCGTGGTGGCTCGCTTGCGCACGATGCATGTGCAGCGGAGGCTCTTCCTGCTGCTCCCCTTCCTCTTTCCCTACTGACTCAGCTTGACTGTTGCTAGAGTTTTTGTTAACAGCGATAGAAGTTGAAGCTATGGCGTCAATTTGTGTTGTTGCTCCACTGTGATGGCTCCCGGCACGCAGCTCCAGTTCCAACAGCCGACCCGCGTGATACTGCGCGAGCTGCAAGTGCTTTCGTAATTGGGAAAGCCTTTGTTGCGTTCGCCCCTTCAGCGCTGTTGCCAGCTTGCTGTGTAGCGCATGGCAGAATGTCAGCCGAGCAGGGTCAGACCCAGCGGGGAAGCTGGAAGACAAAAGTTTTGTACTATCCACCGCAGAGAGCTGCCAGGTGATTAATATCCCTAGCAGTAAGCTGTGGCGCCTCATCGTCATTGTCTGTTTGATGGCCACAGTCCGACAGTGGCTAACGCAATTCATCCTTTGTGATCATGCCATTATAACGGGATAAATATTGCGATCACATCTTGCTTTATGTCAAATGCTCCTGATTGGATTCCGCGACGTTAAGTATGTGACGCAACGGTTATCGGTCGGTAGTCGTTTGCAGTTATGGGGTTCTTAAAAACCGCCGGCCGACTTACCGTCTTATGGCAGCGGTCAGGATGGAAGGGAGCAAGGGACGGACCAGCTGAAAACCACATGCCCGCAACAAAAGCTGCGGCGTTCCTTTATCTCTCCCATACTGTCCAAAAAGTGTTCTGGCGCCAAGGGAAAGGCCGCGCGCCGTACAACATTTTCCTCGTCCTCACTTGCAGATTCCAACGCATTATCAATTTTATAAATCAATAACAAATTTCGGGCGTTGTTTTCATTTGGGCACCTTGATACCTGTCGTCGCGGAATGTAGGGGTCGTTGCGAATAATGCGGTACGACCCGCAGTTGCTGCCGACACTTGTTGTAACAATTAAACCCCGCTAAGGCACCCCTTGGCTCACCGGGCCAACGGTCATCCGTACCAACGGTAAGTCTAGGAATATTTATAACCGACGTTAACGTTCCACTCTAAGCGAGGAGGCAACGCCAAGGCGCATCTTTCTGCCGACCCGTCTAGTGGTCTCACCACTGGCCCATGTCTCAACTAGAGGTGCCGTCATTAGTGCCGACATTTGGAAAAGTAAGTCAAATCAGAAATTAGAAGACACTTAAACGAAACCTTCTTCCTCAACAGCAAAGCATCTGCCTGCTCCCAAAGCAGTTCCGGCACCTGCCTTTTTCCATGCCTGCGCAATCCAGAACCTAACCTGTAATTGGAACTTTCGTCGCCAAAAGAACTACCGGGACATATCTCGATCATATCAACTGAATTTAGGTCTGGGCCTGTTTTATTCACCATAAACTTGCATAAGAGCCGCGTTTAGTTTATGCGGCTTATCAGCGGTATGACGGAGGAAGACGCGGAGAGCACGGACAACAAACCAGCAACAACTCCCGTCAGCGCAGAAATTGGAAAGCGGCAAACCAACTTGCCGTCTTTTGTTTGCGCCGCAGGACAGCTATAGGAACAGCTTGCGAGCGCTCACGCGGTTTCAAGGGTGCGGGAGGAAAATTGCTATAGCAGCGAAAAAATCCATACAACATGCTGATGAAACAAACCAAACCATGTACTTCAAAACAGTGCCGTCCTTTAATCTCAAAAATCATCGTGCAAAGGAACAAAACAGCAACAGGGTTCTTCGCCCCCTATCAATGAACAACTGGGTTTTCCCCTTTCGGCAAAACGTCAGGTAAAATAAGGTTGCACTACGAATGCATACCACCGGTATAATATTAGATTGTGCTTCGCGATCGCTATCCAAACCAAGGCTTTATACACATCGCCACATTGTTTTATTACCAAACACCGACGCTACACAACATACCAGGTATACATACCTCAAAACATGACGACGTACGAACATCACGCCCTCAGCATCCTCTAACGCTGTTTCCCCTCATGCAACGCAGTACTTCGCAGAGGGCACTGTACACAACACGGCAAACCAGCCGCGCAGCTTGCCGTACAGGGATCCCTCAAAACCTGAAGCACGCGCTGTCCCGACATCCACCCCTATACGTATATGTTGTGATGTACGGCTGCTGACCTCACAGCGCTAGCGGCCACGACCCCGACGTCGACAACACACCCACACGCACACGTGCGGATTACGAGAACAAGTCGCGACGTTCCTTGCCGGCCAGCGCCTGGAGAAGGTCCTCGTATGTCGCACCGTCGAGAAGCGATTTACTGAATGTCAGTGTGCCGTCAGCCGCCACTAGCGGCTCCAAAGGCCTTTGTCCGCCGTCAGGTCCCGCCGCCGCAGGTACAGCTACATCTGTGACGACAGGCACAACCTCCTCTGCAGCCTCCTCGGCTTCCGGCGGTTGTGGACTCTCAATAGTGCTGCTGTAGACCTGCTGGGCAGTGGGCATCTGGCCTGCCTTCCATGCTGCAATCCATGCACGTGCTTCTTGCACGTTGAGGGGCACCTCTGGGGGGGGTGATGCTGCCGCGGCCGGCACTTCTGGCGCTGCTGTTGCGACAGGAGCACGCTGCTCGGTGCGCGCCTTCCAGGCAGCGATCCAATTACGCGCCTCCTGCACGTGGGTCGGCACCTCTAGAGCTGCTGCTGGGCTCGGAGGGGCCTCCGGCGCACCTGCTGGTGGCGCCTGTCGCGCCTTCCAGGCGGCTATCCAGTCGCGAGCCTCTCGCACATTCGGCGGAATTTCAGACGTCAGGTACGCCCGCGTCGACACCGCCAGACGGCGTGATGTCCGTGCGGTCGTCAGTCCCTGCAGAAGATAGAGAAAGGCATATAATGGGGACCCCGAATCGTGACGAACAACAATAACAGGGTTGCAGAACCGACGGGCCACGACACGGACGAGACCATACACTCGCAATTATTTAGCAGTTAACCTGGTATCTTCGGAGGTGACAGTGTGGATTAGGGAAGTTGCCGCCTTAATCCTTGGCGGTCAGTCTCTGTGCCCCTCGACACGAAACGGTGAAATTCTATAAGCGTTGTTTTCATCGCAGTTCGCGCACGCGAGCAGGGCCATTGATAACGTCCCGAGTTAAGTATGGGTCATCCCCCTGGTCAACTTTGAACGTCCAGAATACCGGGCTCTTCTATGAATAAATAGGACTCACCACGTTCACCCGAACTGGCACAGCCATTGTCGTAGGGCAAAGCGTCAATGAGGACTATTTTCCAAACGAGCTCACGCTGGGCGCACTAACTTCTTTGGAAGGGCTAACCGAAATCAATATGCCAGCCTCCGAAAGCACATGCACGCTAGCAGAGTGAGTCACAGGACGCCATAAACCTCACAGCAGGCATTTTAAATGGGGCCCATATTCCGTACACAACAACATCACTGCACTGCACGAGGTGCACCTGCGCCTATGTGAGCCTACTTTGTGTGTAAAATTTGCAGGCCTTGGCAACGGTGCCGGATTTGATGTCGGCTTGCAACTCCGGGCTTGCAACTCCGGCAAACCGTTGTTGTCTAGATAGGTAGCTGTCTGGCCACAGTCGCCGATTTCGCCATCTCTGGATGATCAATGAGTGATAATGTTTTGATGACTACTTAAATGAGCTAACGCATAATCTTCGCCATTACGTTTGTCTCATAAGCTCTTCGTATATTTCTGGCTGGGAACTGTTTTCAAGCCTTACCCTCGTGAGTAAACAGCTTGTGTTAAATGTCTGCGCAACGATCTTCGGCTGCGCAACAATTTTGCTCCGTCTAGGACGAAGCCCGCGATGCTAGGCACAATTAACGCTTGCGGTTTTCCTTTCAGGCATTGCGCGGTCAGGACGTTTTGTGTTGATGTTAAGGTGCTCTGAACCATTCCTCTTAATTATCCTTCAATTCTTGGCCCGGCCTACGTAGTTGTTGGAAGGATGCGGACACAGCAACTTCCGCGACTCTCGGTAGCAGCAATTGCGCTGGTTCCTCACCTCTTAACCACAAGCTTACTAGCTGTGACTGGTGGGTTCACGCGATAACGCATAGCAAGTCGCATGGAGAAAGTTCCCGCTTGCTCTGTCCTAGGCGCTGGATGTCCTCACATGACCGCATCTGCAAACAGGTCACCCGCATACAGCAACACCTCCTCCAATTAGTATCATGTGAAGCTGCTCAGTTGTCGCATCCGCGTTTCAGGACCGTTGGGGCTGCCCGCGGATTCTTGTGCCCAGGGCGCGAGGGTAGCCTCCGTCGCCCCGCATCCTCGCATCCTACCTTCAGTGCACTCATGGATGGATGCATCGACGTTTTCCAACAACGCATCAACCGTTGACGCGTTGATCGTCCTCAATGTTCGCCTCCCAGTTGCCCGTCATCCACATGATTGTGAATGTCTCCCCCCCACTTTTACCTTCCCGACTCTTCCAATGCGCTTGCCTACCTGCCGGCAGCAAGTGCAACCAGCGACCTGAGTGATGGCGAAATAGCTGGGGTCGTGGTCGGGAGTGTCGGTGGAGCGCTGCTGCTTGCTTTTCTGATATTCTCCATTTGCTGTATCCGCGCATGGCGACGGCGACAAACCGGAGATCTCACTTGGTAAGCGGCGGCGGCAGTGAAGGTAGTTGCTTTACGACAAAGACCAACCGTAACAGTAACAGTCACCATGAGGGGTCTAACCTCCGTACGTGTACATGCGCCCGTTTTCCAGTGTGGCGTTATGCCGGGGCTCCTTTTATTTCAGGAGCTGGAGGGTTGCGACGCAGTGCACGATATTCAGAGAAGGGAAAACGGTTTTTGAGATTTGGGCCGGATGGGGAACGCAAGGGCTCATGGGATATTACTAGGCACAACTAGCAACCGCTGCGGGTACCAGGATGTCATCAACCGTCTTTTTGTATATATAATATCAACCAACCATTACCATTTTTGCATCAGGATGAAGACCACGGACTTGGAAGTAGCGGAACAGGCCTTTGTCCACACCCTGCATCAACCGCTGTCGGGGCCCTGTGCTGAGGACCTGGCGGCGAGCGAGCGGCGCACTTTTGCTGCTGCCGCCGGCGACCCCGCTGCCGCCAACATCAACGGTCACAACCATAACAGCACCGAACAGCAACAGCCACAAGAATACCGGCAGGAGGAGCAGCAGCAGCAGCCAACCAACCGAACGGATGCCTCGACAGCGACGGCTCAGAGCATCGCAACGGCCGACGGCGGCATGGATTTCGGATCCACGTTCCCCAACTTCTCGCCCTCTCCGTTGCGCTCGCCGGGTATGGGCGACGGTGGCGGTGGGGGGGTTGAAGGTGACTGGCGGGGAGCTGGTCGCAAGGCCAGCTTTTTCCGAAACCGCAGCTGGGGCTACGGCGCCAGTGGCACTGGCGGTGGCGTGGCCCATTGGTTTAATGGTGGTGTGAAAAAAGTCGGCAGGATCATGTCGGCGCGTCAGACTGGCAGCAGCCCCAAGGACAAGCACCTCGAGGTGGGTGGCGACTTTGGGGATTGCGATTTAACACCGTCTTGCCGCTCAAAACTCCCTAACTGTAGGCCCTGGAAGCTCCCCTTACTTCGAAAACGAACCCTAAACTTTGTAAAAAAATTTTCCTGTTTTCCAAGTTTTTACCTGTTGTTACTGATGCCTTTGCAGGTCTCATGGTCGGCCCGTGTGGAACCATCGGCGGAGTTGGAGCTCGCAGAGCCCTTCCAGCCAGCCGCCACAAACCTGGGACCGCCCCTCTCTAAATCCTCCATGTTGCTCCGCTGGCTCAACGGCGCGGATGAAGGTCTCCACCCGGAGGCAGCGGCCGCGGCGGCACAGTTGGCGGCGGCGGCAGTGGCGGTCGGTGACAGGCCGTCGGGCCGCGACAAGGAGGCCGCGGGCCGCGGTGGCGCCGCTGGTATTGATACCCCCACGGTTAGTGGCGGCGGCCGTGTTGGCGGCGGCGGCGGCGGCGGTCTGGGCAGCGCGCCGTTGGACCGACTGCCGTTGCTGTCGTTGGCGGCCCAGCAGAGCGGCATTGTGTGGAGTAAGATGCCGCCATCGGTGGCGTCGTCGCCGGCGGTCTCGCAGGTGGAGAGCTGCTCCATGCACATGCTTCGGGTGGGTTTTATGGGTTTTGCCTGCGGTTTTAGGGTTTTAGATTTCCTTCAATGATGGTGGGTGTCTGGAAGGGGTTCTTTAGAGCACGTCTGAGTTAAAACAGGGGGCCGAGTGACCGAGGTATCATATAAGCGGCTGGGTGCTGTTTATACTGTGTAAAAGTGAAGAGGTGGGGGGTTTTCATCGGGGTCCTTGTTCACAGAGCTGTACGGAAACCGCTGCTGGTGCCCTGACCGCTGCTGATTCTGGTGCCGCCGCTGCTGCTGCTACTATAGGGCACCATGAAGCGCTCTGATGAGCCAGATGTCGCGACCGGGAGGTCTGGGGGCCGAGCCATCTCCTCTTCCGGGAACCCCAACGCCACCTCGACCCTCGCAACATGGCACGAAGGAGATGACCGCTACCCCTCCAGCTTGGGCCGGGTATCTTTGGATGCGTTTTTGGTTTCGGAGGGTTGCGGTGGCGCTGCGGCGCCGCCGCGCCGGTCCACCGCCGGCGGCGATGGAGCCGCCTCTGCCAGCCGCCCCGGCATCGTCTTCGACTATGTCGTACGGCCCAGCCGCAGTACGAACAGCAGTCGTACGAACACTGGCGGTGGTGCGCCTAGTGGGGCTGGCGATGTCTTGCCGACATCCAATGATGATGACGGCCGGGACGGCACGACGACGAGGGTGGCCCTGTCGGCACAGCCGTTGAAGCTTGGTTCCGGAGCTGACGGTGCCGTCACGCAGACAGGTACCCTGTCGAATGGCCACACGCTGCTGCATGAGGTGAGCTATGGGGCGCTAGCGGAAGCGTGCCTCGGATCCCTGCCCTTGAAAGCAGGAGGAAACCAGAACCCAGGGGATTGGAACCCAGGGGTAAAATCGGAAGCGCGGGAAGGGGGGGGAGTAAAGGGAGGGAAGGGAAGGGAAGGGCAGATGCCGCTTTAAGCTGTGACCCTGTACATGTCTGTTTAGGCAGGTACTCGAACGATTGTTACAACTTCGCGAGCTCGTCTCTTCCCACGCATTGGCTGGGAGTCCCCCACATTTCCCAAGCCCCTACTCCATACACACACATGGCTCCCGCAGGCGCATCACCGCAACCCGCCATCTAGAGCTGCAATCCACGACTCGGTTGCCACCGCCGCAGCAGCAGCGGTGTCCCCGCGTCCATCCAATGGTCGTCTCTGGCTGCACCAAACACCACCAACGAAGCTCGCAGCCCTCCAGGAAACCGACGCCGAAGTAGAGGAGGAAGAGGAGCAGGAGGAGGGGGGGGATGGCGAGGGGGAGGACGGGGCGCAGAAGCCGCTGCCGCGGCAGACACAGCCTTCTCAGTCTTCGCGGTCTTCCTTCCCCTCCAAGCAGCTTCTGCCGATGGCGCCGCTGCTGCTGCAGTCGTCGCCGAGATCGGCCGCGGCAGCGGCGGGGGCGGCATGGTCCGCACAGGCATCGCCGAAGGCAGCAGCAGCGGCGGGGGCGGCACAATCCTCTCCTCGGGCGGTGCTGCCGGAGGGCTCTCCGACCCCTCCATCCTCATCGCCGCACGCGACCAGACGTGGCTGGATGCACTTTGGTGATGGAGATAGCGCTCAGGTGGTGCCGCCTGGCGGGGGGTTTGGGCTGGGACAGGGCGCCGTAGTCGGCGTCGTGGGCCGCCCGCAGCGCGAGCCGCCGCTACCCGTCTCCTTCGCCGCCGCCGCAAATGACACAGCGGCCCTCGCGGCCGCAAAGGAGGCAACGTCGTACGCTGCTCCGCAGCCCGCCGGCGCAGCCGCTGCACCTGGGCCGCCCGCGAGCAAATCACCCGCTGGCGCCCGTATCGGCGTTGGTGTCGACGTGGGCGTGTTGTCAATGCCGGGGCGGCGGCCGATAGATTTGACGGTGACGATGGCGGAGCTGGCGCCCGCCGGCGGCGCGCAGTGTGTGTCTCCGCGGGGCTCCGCCAGCCAGGTGCAGCGACGTACGGGCGCGCCGCCGCCGCCGCCGCCGCTGCCTCTTCACGAAACCCAATCCAGCAAAAGCCTGCGGTCGCAGACGTCGTTGATTTCTCCGTCGTTGAGTATGCATTATCCTGAGTCCCCAGGCGTTGCGGTCCCGGAGTCGCCGGCGCCGACAATACCGATGCCAGCAGCAGCGGCGGCGGCGACGGCGGTGGCGCAATAATACGGCAGGAGTGAGAACGACTGGGCGCGGCGTCACCTGCGGCCGCCGCGGGTGACGCAGGTGACGCCGTCGGTGGTGGTGGTTGGT